TGCTGGGGCCCCCAGCCTGGCCCCAGCCCTGCAGGGGGGTCTCAGCAGAGGGGACAATCCCCTCCCTGGCCCTGCTGGTCACACTGCTGGGGACACAGCCCAGGACACGGGGGGTTTCTGGGCTCATGTTGAGCTCCTCCTCACCCAACACCCCCAGGTCCTTCTCTCCACCCATCCTCCTGGATTTGCCCCTGGGGTTGCCCCAACCCACCTGCAGCACCTTTCTCTTGGCCTTGTTGGCCTTCCCGTGGTTGTCACCTCCCCACCTCTCCAGCCTGCCCAGGTCCCTTTGGGTGCCATCCCTTCCCTCCAGCCCTGAAGAGGAAGGTGCCACTTCTTCAAAGCCACTTCTCAAACCACCAATCAGCCCACACAGAGTGAGCCCACCCAGCATGGCCTGACCTCCCCCACCTCATCAGCTGGGACCTCAGCCAGAGAGGGTCTCGTGAGACCCCCTGCCCGAGGGGCCACCCCAGGAGCTTTGGTGTCCTGGCCAGGTGATTGGCAGCCAGAGAGCAAAGTGAGACCTGAGGAGCTTGTCCCCAAGACCCAGCAGGTGTGGGGATGCTCAGTGTGATGGGAGAGGCAGAGGAACAGGGGATGGTTGCACAGCCCACGGGTTCTTTACCTCCAGAATCTTTCCAGCCCCTTTTTCCTTGCACATCCACACACCTGGGACAGGCCAAGCTCTGCTGGGTCCCCATCCCCAACCCTGTGTCCATCACGATCTCCAGGGCTTCTCACCTTGGTTTGGAGGTTCCACAGGGGTTTGGTGGGGCCCTCGTGCTGGAGCTCCCCCAGTTGCTGCTGTTGATGGCTCCTCCATTCCCAGAGAACATTCCCTGCTCTTCCCTAGGCTGCAGATGTTGGGAAGGCCTTTTGTTGGACTGTCACATCTGAGGAGAAGGTGTTGATGGTCTCCTGGCCTGTCCAGGGGGGTCAGAGAGCTCCTGACTCCTTTCCCTGGGGACACAGGGACAGACCTTATGGAGCCTTCAGGACCCCACGTCCCTGCAGCAACCTCTGAACTCTCCTGGAGATACTGGTTCCTCCAGCTCCAACCCACTTGGGAAGCTAAGGAGGACCCTGTAGCTCCAGAGGGTCACACTCCTGTGTCTCCCCTGCTCCAGGGGTGGTTTTCCATGGCAAAGCTCCCCCGGGGTCTGCACAGCTCAGCACAGCAGCAGGACCTGCTGAGGACCAGGCAGCAGCCCCCCTGGCAGGTGGTCTGGGTGGTCCCTCCAACCCAAACCAGCCCATGACTGTGATTCTAGAGGTCAGTTAAGAGCAGCTTGGCCAGGATTGTTGAGGCTCCACCACCCACCCTGGTCTGCAGCATCATCCCAGAGCTCTGCAGAAAGGAACAGACCATGTCCTGGGATGTGACCTGCTGGTGGGACTGGTGCTTCCCCACCATCCATCCCAGCACAGTGACCAGGTGCCACGATGTGGGACCTGAGATGCTGCCTGAGATGAGTTGCTGTTCCACCTCATCCCAGACTTGCTGTTCTCCAGCAGGAGAGCTGGGATTCAGGTGGGGTCCTGGTCCTTCCCCCATGTCCATGCTCTCTCCTGCATGGACATGCACAGGCTGGGATGCAGCAGGAAGGTTTGTTCCCCCCAGGTGCATGGAAGCAGCTTTAGTTGCCTCCCTCCTAGAGGCTCCATCTCAGGAACAAGGGCTGGTGTCCCCCATCCAGACCTGGAGGGTTTTTCTAGACAAGAGTGGCCACCTTGAAACCTCCCCCCAAAGACCAGGTTGTTGGCAGGGGGAAGGTTTGTTGCCCTTTCTTTGTCCTGTATCCTCAAGCAGGAGGTGACAAGGTGAGGTCACCCAGGTGTTTGGACTTCAAAAAGGTCCAAAGCTCTTTCCTGGGCTGAAAAAGGGTCCAAAGCTCCTTCCTGTGAAGATGCACCAAGATCCCTGCTGGCCCACGGTGCTTTGTGGCTACCAAGCCCCTCACCATGGCTAGCAGGAATCCTGGGGCTCCTAAGGAATTTGCTCCTTCATTTGGGTTGCTCAACCTTGGATCTCTCAAGGAGAAGGGTCCAAGCTGTTGTCTCCAGGCTCAGGCCAGAGGATGAGGTGGGAGAAGGAAAGAGGGGGTTGCAGAGGTGGATCCAACCCCACTTTCCTGCTCAGGGGGTGGAGCAGGGGGGGATGGATCAAGTCCCCTTAGCAGCCCAGAACCTGGGAGAGGCTCCTCAGTGCTGATTGTCTCCTCTCTCCTCTTCCTTTTGCACAGGAATGAGCTCAACGACCATCTGGACACCATGGATTCCAACCTGGACAACCTCCAGACCATGCTGACCACCCATGGCTTCAGTGTGGACACAAGCGCCCTCCTAGACGTGAGTGTCCTTGGGTCCTGGGGGGCTTGGCTGGGAGGGACCTCAGAGCCCACCCAGTGCCCCCCTGCATGGGCAGGGACACCTCCCAGCAGCCCAGGCTGCTCCAAGCCCCATCCAACCTGCCCTTCAACACCCCCAGGGATGGGGCAGCCACAGCTTCCCTGGGCAACCTGGCCCAGGGGCTCCCCACCCTCACAGCCCAGAATTTCTCCCTCCCATCTCAGCTCCAGCTCCCTCTGCCAGCTGGAAACCCTTCCCCCTGCTCCCATCCCTCCCTGCCCTTGTCCCAAGCCCCTCCCCAGCTTTCCTGGAGCCCCTTCAGGCCCTGGAAGCTGCTCTCAGGTCTCCCTGGAGCCTTCTCTTCTCCAGGCTCAACACCCCAACTCTCCCAGCCTGGCTCCAGAGCTGCTCCAGCCCTCCCAGCATCTCCCCCAACCCTCTGATACCTCCTCCTCCCCACCCATCCTACCTGGAACTGGGCCCCAGCTGCATCCCCAACCCCATGGACCACAGGAGCTTCATCCAGGAACCCCCACAGCTCCCTGGCTCCATCTCCTTTCCCTCCTCTAACCCTCCTCTCCTTTGGCAGCTTTTTAGCCCCTCCATGACGGTTACAGACATGAACCTTCCTGACCTGGACAGCAGCCTGGCCAGTGTGAGTAGCCCTCACTGCCCAACCCCCTGCACCCTCCACCACCACCACCAAGCTGGGCAGGAACCTTGGATGGAAGGAAACCTCTGACAGGCTCTGGAGAGCATCCAGAGAATCAGAGACTCATGGAATGGGTTGGGTTGGAAGGGACTTGAATAAAGCCCACCCAGTGCCCCCCCTGCATGGGCAGGGACACCTCCCAGCAGCCCAGG